GGCGGCTTCCCTCCAATAATAATCATCCTCCTATTTGGAATATATTATCCTATGGACGAATTTAAGTCAGCCATTAGATGCGGAGATCATCGCCGCCTATCAAGGAGGATGGGAGATAATCAGCCAGTCACAATACATCACCTCTCGATATCTTCAAAAAGTGATCATTGAATTGATATATTGACGTGAATATCCCCATCTCTCAATATTCTAGTCTATTAGACCCGAAGATATCACAACGATTACCATTGCCTTCTGCAGTCCCGAAGGCAACAGCTAAGAACAGCAACCCCAAATGCCTCAAAAATCCTACAGAAAGCCGAGCAAAGCTGTACCTCACCCGTGCGCGAGCTACACCAAATGAAGGTGCATTTATGGCATGCGTCCTTGTTGTCCTGTGCCGCAGAGAATCTACATCCCCGCTGAGCTAGAAATCTAGGGCTGTGCCCTCACAAAGGAAATCCGACCGCGCATTGTCCGAGTCTGGCTTGTGGATGCTGAATCCTCCTTGCAAGCCCGTGAGGCGTGCCCGGCTTCGCTCAGGAAGGCAGTCGTTGTATTGACCAGTCAAGGTGTAAAAGCACTGATACGTCTTTCCGTCACGGCGAAGGTTTTTCGATGGCACGATAGGCACGTCATCAGCCTCCAGATGCTTGGTCATCGTCTGGTTCAGATCCAGCATAATTTTGAGTGCATGTTCCGGGTTGCGGGTTCCCATGCTTGACACCATAAGCTCGTGGATCTCATTAAAGCGATGGCGTACCATGTCCAGAGAAAGGGCAAAGTAATCTCTGGCTGTGTCTCGTCCCCTAATCAAGGCAAGCTTGTCGTTGACACCTCCAAACCTGCTGCACGCCGGAGCATAAAGCGCTCGATCTTCCAGCAGGTCGAGGCGTGGCACGAAGGGCTCCAAGACAGCGCTGTCGTCACGCAGCCTCAAAGTGTAGTTCGCATGATTCACGGGGCTGATCAGGAGCTGGCCGCAGCGCTCTAGGGCCTCCCACTGCCGCATGTGTGACTTCGCCCTCTGGTTGGCATACTCGACGCCCTTCTCAGGCATTTGACTGTACAAGTCCTGCACATAGCGCTCATCCACAGGATAGTCGCGCGGGATGAACGGGTCGCCGAGCAGCGTCATGCCTCCAGGAAACATCTCGGCTGCTTGTTGCAAGCTTGAGAAATTTCCATCTACCACCACGAAGTCGTCAAAGACCTCTCCTGGACCACGGTGGACGTAGGAAGCGGTGCCACGGGGATCCAAGACGAGCGCCACAATGACCCGGAAGTTGTTGTCCATAAGGGGTCGGATGAGTCGTTCGACCTTCGTCTTGAGCTCCAGCCGACGGATTTGGCCTGTGATACATATGGCAAAGTCCGTTTTGGCTTCGGGACCCCAGCGCTGATCGCTCACCCGCGGGAAGAGTGGGGCAAACTCTGGCCGCCCTTTGCCGAGGAACTCTGACAATGCCGGAACATCAATCCTTGAACCATCGAAAACGTTGATCTCCATGAGATTCTCTGCTGGGACAATGCAACGTACAAGTCGGCTGTGCGCCTCATAGAGGCGGGCCGCCTTCTCCGCACTCATCGTGGCGAGCTTCACACCACACGGGCTGTGAAGAGGAACCACCATTGTCTCATCCCATTCCAGCCGCGCTTTCGCCCAATCCACTGCATCGCGGTTCGTGAGGATGACCTTGGACTGAGGTGACACGGCATAGAAATCAAGGAAATGCTCCGCCATGGGGGTGTCCAGGAGCAAGTCGTTGCCCTGGTCAAATGCCTCGGAAAAGTTCAAGGCATTCAGGGTCGAAATGCATCCATCGAGGCCTTTGGGGTGCTGCAGTTTCGTGAGGTGCGTCAATCGACTCCAGAACTTCGGAATTTCGTGGGCGTTGTGTCCCTGCACGAAATGATGCACACCGAGTCCGAGTTGGCGCCCGAAAGCTGCGAGGGATCGTGTTGCAGTGGTTCCAAAGCCAGCTCCCAAGATGACTGAGCCAGTGGTGGCCTGACCCGTGCCTCCAAAGTGCCTTTGCTCCAAACGCCGGGAGAAGCCAGGAAGATCAGCATCCACACTTGCACCATATTCCGAGATGCATTGCCACTGCGCGGGTGAGAAAGGTGAATCCTTCGCCTCAATCAAGGTTTTCGCGGCATCTGCACGCTGCTGTATGAGGCAGGATGCCTGACCTACGCCGGCCACCCCATCAGCGTTCAGTTTCGCGACCTTTTGGTGACAACTTTGCCCGAACACTTTCACGACCAGGAGGTGCATATGGAGGGCAAGCAGCCGCGCCATCAGCGGCGCAGCTCGCGGTTTCATGATGAAGAAAGATTTGGTTTGATTCGTTTGAATCTCTGGCGGCTTGAGCCAAAGACTGCGTATTCAGCATTCTAAGGCTCTGTGGCTGTTCAGGCCTCGTGGCGAAATACACCCCCTGCACCTGGGATAGCGGATATCGGATTCACACGACCCCTTGGCATTGACAATTCAAGCCCACACGCCACGATACGGGAGTCTGACACGGAGCAAGAGTCCCCAGTCGCGCGCGACTATTTGGCAGTAATACGTGTGTCTGTGCACATGCATTCTCTCGCGTGCTGCTACTACTGCTACTACTACGGCTACGACGACGACGAGGACGAGGAGGAGGACGAGTACGAGTACTGATACTGCTACTGCTACTGCCACTGCTACTGCTCCTGCTACTGCTACTGCTCCTGCTGCTGCTCCTGCTCCTGCTCCTGCTCCTGCTCCTGCCGCTGCCGCTGCTGCTGCTGCTGCTGCTGCCGCTGCCGCTGCTGCTACTGCTGCTGCTGCTCCTGCTACTGCTATTGCTACTGCTATTGCTGCTGCCACTAACGACGACGACGTGGACGTGGACGTGGACGTGGATGTGGACGTGGCCAGGGCCAAACTCTGAAAAACCCAAAAACCTAAAAGCCCTAAACCTTGAAGACACTAAACTTCTTTCCGACTTTCTATGGGGCCGTGTATAAGGACACTAAGCAGGAGCCCTCAGTGGACAAGACAAGCGTGCAATAATTGCACATTGGCTATCCTCGACGCATGTTGCCATCCAACCAGGTGATATCGTGCTTGTGGACAACAATCGTGAGGCACACACACACACAAGAGTTCGCTGGAAGAAGGATTGTGAATTCTGCCCAGTTCAGACGAGCCAAGGATATGTCTGTCCGTGAGCTGTTGGTCTGCTTCATCCAGACTGCTCATAGAGCCGGGGCCGCAATTCGTGAAGAACATGCTCGACATGGAGGGTGAAGGCCTACGTCAGCTGAGAAGGACACGCAAGGCAAACGAGAGCTGAGCGGGGGCCACGGGGCAGGTGGGCAACTGTAAGGGGGTGCTCAGGTGGGTAACTGTACAGTTGCCGCGCCACACTAAGCAGGCCCGGGAGTACCGAGATTTTGCCATAAATACCCAGGTCGAGGAAACTCAGGCGGGCCACTGCACCGATTATTGCTTCACTGAGCACCTCACTAAGCAGCCCAGTGAGGCTCAGGCGGGCGTTTGAAAATGTTACGTACTATATCAGCAGGCAGGGAGGCTCAAGCGGGCAGCCGGACGACCCCACACCCGTTTTGCTGCCACCTCACGACCAAGTAGCTCGTGCCAAAAAGTGTATCAGAATTAGCAAGCTCCGGGCACGGACCTTTGCGGACGCAGGGTTTGTAGACCACTGGCCAAAGAAGAAGCAAGCGCGGACCATGGAAGCCGACGAGAAAACATGTGCGCTTCTAAGTAAGCCCTGAAACGTTGGGGGTGCTAGCGCCGTGTTCCTGCTTACGGAGAAAAAGTGTAGTGTTAATACAACCACCGACCACGGAATCTGCAGAGCCGAAATTCATGAGCAGCGGAAGTTAATAAAATCAGGGACCTCTGACCCCTCCCGAAACTTTTCATAACCAACATTCACCAACATTCGCACTGCAGGAGCCACAAAAACGGAAGAGGCATAACGAGGCCTCAGAAAGCAGCTGCGAAAAAGCTAGACCGCAAAGAGGCTAGGCGCATATAGAATATGGATCGGTGAGCGCCACAGCTGTCTACTGCAGAATTTTAACGACACTACCGATTGAACGCTGGTCTTCGGGTAATATCTCATATGACCACATCTGTCCATCCTTTGCAGGGTCGCTGCAAGCAGCATCAGCAAGAAGGTAACGACGACACCATGAACCATAAGCCTTCAATCATCTATTGTTGGCTGACTTTTTGCAAACGAATTGTGTGACTTGCGAGGTCTCAAGGAAAGCCAGCGATGCACGGATTGTGTGCCGACTCATCTGGCTGTAGGCATCCCCATTAGCTGCCAACAGTGCACGAGGGGCGCAATCAAATCGGGTGGATTGCGTGAGAAGCTGTGTCCTACAACATCTGCTGTGGATGCAATTGATCCTCACTCAGCAAAACATCTGCATGTTTATGCAGGTGAACCAACTAGCTTTAAGAGCCCCATGCAGCCTGTAGCATGGGGTACGTGAGACGGCAGCAGAGCCGCGTTAACTGTCCGAACAGGCCGGCTTCTTCAACTGTGCAGTAACAAGATCAACACTATCTTGGTGTTCTGCTCAATGGCCCTCAACTTTTGCATAGGCTCTGCAGCCCGTGTCGAAAGGATGGTCACTCCTCGTCGTGACACTTCGCAGTTTCATTCAGTACAAGCCTATCCTCACATGTGCCAGCCTGGCATGGCTTCAGCAGCGCACAGCAGAAGTTTTAAGCCAAGTGCAGGCAGGCTTGCTGTGCGGCACCCTGAAGAGGTCAGTGCTGTGGCTGGTGTAGACCCTAAACCCTAAACCCTAAACCCTAAACCCTAAACCCTAAACCCTAAACCCTAAACCCTAAACCCTAAACCCTAAACCCTAGACTGGTTGGTCTCGTCTTAGGCCTTAGATGCATCTAATGGCATGGGAGGGCTCAGTACCAAGACGACTGCCCAAACCCTGTAACAAGCTGGCACAGGCCTTTGCAGAAGTACCACTGCAAGTTGAACAGGGTGCAAATTCGGTTTCACGTCCTGATGCAGGTTTACTGCTTGAAACTCCACAGACTTCATCTTCCCTGAAGGACATCATACACAGACCGGGCGTTCCAGTGCTCTGGTCCTCGACCGCCTGTTTCAGGCCTTTTTGCTTGTCCTGAGGCTATCCCATGGGTCAGACAGTGTGCGATAACGGCTTGGGTGATCTGGCCTGTGTCGTGTGCCATGCGGGAGTAACATGCAATCAAGCGGCCTGGAATAGCTGGGGGCCGCAGGTTGCTGAAAGTTGTGGTACCTAGGGAAGCGATGTCAGCACTGGAGAGAGAGAGAGAGAGCTTGTTGCATACAGTTGCGTACTGCTTCCAGATATGGCTATTCATTATTGCTATTCGAAATGGTGCGTCGCCCGGCTTCCTCGGCGTTTTTGTCTCGCGACTACCAGTGCTCAGCCGAAGCCATCTGTTCCTCGCACAGTGTTGGAAGCCTTTTGCTCAGGCTGTCTCCTGCCATTCTACAGCAAGCGCGTGCGAAATCGACTGACTGACTGATGCCCTGCTTGGGGAATCATCCGTTCACCCTTCTGGAGACTTCATTGAAACTACGACTGAAGTGAATCCACAATTCCGAGCGGGCTGGCCGCCAAAGCGGTCACCTGTGATGCCGAAGCGATCACCTGTGACGCCACTAAAATCATCCAGTTAAATTACGTGCATTTTCACAGCACCAAGCACTGCGTCTCGTCACTCATATTCGAGTGAGGTCTCTGCCAAAGATTCGGCTTTTAACCCAGTCAAAAAGAACTAGGACACGGTTGCGAAAGCTGACCTGCTTCACGATGTAGACGGATCGCCATAGCACAAACGCCGCCAGCCCTTTTGTTTGTGACACCGTTGTTTCTCCCACGCCAAGTTCTGCCACGGCCTTCGACTGTCCCAAGTATGCCAAACGCCCCAGATCCAAAAAACGAAATGGTTTAGCTTCCGTTTGCCCTGTAAGCTGCGCCATCGCCATAAAGGCAGCTCCGTCCCTTAGCGCCGGATGTGGTTGTGCCAAGTCGTACTGCCTGTTCAAGAGTCGTGCAACAAAGGCTCCTTGCTGTGCTGCCACCTGTGCAGTGTTTGGAAACTGTGGTGCACCAGCGGGACGGGCGCAATCTCCAAGAGCGATTATGGATCCTGATGGAGCTCCGCAGACGCGCATCCATTCATCCACAAAGAGCTGGCTATCGTTCCCGCGCGCCTCGGACTCCGCAAGCTCCTTTTGCTTAGGGATCGTCTTGTGCAAATCCCTGACCAAGTCTTGGCCAATCTGTCCGGCCGCCCAAACCACCAAGCCGCATGGCATGATCCTCTCGTCACTCCCATCCTTCTGGGCAAGGTGAACTTGCTTCTTCTCGACCTTTACCACTGTGGTTTTGAGGATGACCTCTATGCCCTGTGTCTCCAAGAACTCGCCGGCTGCTTGCTGCAGGCTTTCGCCGAAGTCAGGCAGTAGAGTCGCCCCTCGATGAACAAGTATGATGCGAACCAAAGGTGCAAGCTTGGGGTAAAAGCGGCGCAGATCGTTCCTCACGAAATCCGAGAGCTCGCCGCAAAACTCGCAGCCTGTAGGCCCACCACCCACTATGACAAAAGTGAGAAGCCGCCGACGCTCCTAAAGGGAGGTCTTCAAGGGTTTAGGGTTCAGGGAGCGACGTTTATCAACTGATCAAGTTCCATTCTGACACCACCGGGCTTGCCCAAGTGTGTGAATGCCTGTTGTCAGGCAACCCATCTATGGGTAGACATACAGACAGTATGTACACCATAAAGCTTGGGCAACGCCCGCCCCCTGTGTTTTTGTGGGAGGCACCTGATATCTGCTGAGATACTTGGCTCAGTTTGTTGGGTGGGCGGGGTCGGCTTCACTCAAGAGGGCGCCACATGCCAAGGCCCGATAATTCGAAGCAATGCTCAGCATGTAGCTTAGTTGTTGGTGCCACACGCCCACGGCAAGCACCGCGAGTAGGGTGGGACTGTTGTTAGCCACCTGCCTAGCTGACCTCACGGGCCGCAAGGCACTGACTGGGAAGAGTGATTTCCGGTTAGCGCTCCAAGTGTCGGCTTAGGGTTTCAAGCTTCCAGATTCTTGTTGCCACCCCGCCTGAGGTCTTAGGGATTTATCCGCGCGCCACTCGGACACGCAAGGGTTCGGGTCTAGGGCCTGCTCCCCAAAACCCTAAGAACCCTAAGAACCCTAAAAACCCCCCCCAAAAATCCTAAAAGCCCTAAAAGCCCTAAAAACCCTAAAACCCCTAAAAACCTGTCCTCCTCGGACTTGCCAGGCAGATCGGCAGCTTCGAAGTTCAGCGTGACCCGCTTGCGCAAGCGGCGCGCGTCGTCGATGTTCTTCAGGAACAAGCAATGGTCGTCCACACCTGGGGAGGGTTTAGGGTTTAGGGTTTAGGGTTTAGGGTTTAGGGTTTAGGGTTGAGGTGATGAAAACAGGCACCTGCCTTTGAGTGCAAGATTTGCTCAGCCATCCGTCATCACTCAGAAATGCCTGTGTTACTTTTCAGGTTCGGTCGAGTTTATGTTCGTCTCAGGGACACTTGCCCCTTTTTGATTCAGTGCTGCAGCATCTTCATGTCCTGGTTGCCAGTGCCGACCATGTCGACATCACAGGCGATTTCAAACAATTATCGTCTCATATTGCATCTTATCTTCACGCCTCATGTTCAGATTTAAGCCCTTGCACCATGCGGGGGTCCCCTGTGCGTGTTTGTGCTTCAAGGTACTAGCGAACACCGACATGGGGGCTTACGACATTGGGGAGTACCATTTTGGGGATCCTTGAAAAGGATTCTATAGTATTTTGGGGTCTATAAGGGGTACCCCGATTTTCGGAAATCCCCACTTAGTTCACAGGTGGGAGGGATTTCGTACGTCGCACCTGGCACTCCGAGAGAGCTGGGCCGAAGTCCAACAGCAACCACAAGAACCTGCAAGCATCTCACACGGACATGGTGCATTCCGCTGCATTCCTATTGCATTCTTGTACAACCCTAAACCCTAAACCCTAATTAAACCCTAAACCCTAACCCTAACCCCCCAAAAACAACCCATTCAAACCAACACTAGGGCAAGGCTGGGGTCGGACCAGATGTTGATGCTAGGTGCCACTAGCGACCATGTTTAGGTCTTTCTGACCACCGCATGGAAACCTTGGGTGAAAACAGAAATCACTTTCATGGCCGCGGAGCATCATAGGGCAGTGCGAATTCCGGCTCGGACCCTTCTGGAACCGGTTGAATGAGGACCTGCTTCTTCTCGACCTCCACACTCTTGCATGCACCTGGTCAGGTTAAGTCCATGCAAACCTATCATTTGAGTTCTCACGAAGGGGTCAAAGTTGGAAGCAACACCACGAGTGCGATCTGTAACTTGCTCGGTGAAGGATGCATATCGCACCTTGGAGGTACCCAATTGTTGGGTTGGAGCTGCGTATGTGCTCCAGGATTGAGCGGTACTCGACCGTACCCACGGATGCAGCGGCCAGCATGGGGGTGAAGATGAAGTAGTTCCTAGGGGATACCACTGTCACATCCACTTTGCTGACGTCGATGATCTTTGCTATGGCATGGGCTGCCCAGCCGGTCCCCAGCACGACAACTCTGCTCCTCTCCGAAGCTGCCGGAGCGTCCCCTACCTCTGCCGTCCCTGGAGTCTCGGCCCGACCAGTCAGAAAGGCTGGAAGCCGGGCGAGGTGCAAAACTGCATCCTCAAACGTATTGCCGACTTCATCGATAGCTTGGGAGATGTCGTCCGTCAAGGCCTTCCTGCGCACGCGGCTTCTTCGAGACTTCCGCATTTTGCATAGCCCAGCTGACAGAACAGTCACAAGGACAATGTTGGCTCCTTGCAAAGATAAGGCTCCAGGATGCCTTCCGTCGTGCGGTGGAACAGGTAGGACACGTTGAGCGTGGCAAGAGTCTGCGTGCACTCGCTGTGCTTTTGCTGCCACGAAGCCAACGTACATTCCACCTACTAAAGCCTACTATGAATTGAAGCTTTCAAACCGGCTGAGCCGATAGTATGGCTGCGCCTGACCCAAGAGTTCTCCCAAGCATGCTGTCCATGCTTAAGCCGAAGCATGGGGGAAACGAGGCGTCTGGCTGCATGGACTTTCAAATTTCAGTGACATGTATAGGCTGCGGCAAAGAACAGCGGAGAATCGATGCAGCATGATGCAGCAAGCAATCCAGAAGCTCCGGGGAGCCTTTATGACCCCCACACCTCCCCTCCTTGCTAAGGCCAGGTTGCCCCATCAAGTCCTCCTGAGACAGCGCGGTACCTGAAGACAAGACTCTCCGACCCTGAGTAGGGACTTAGGCTCAAGAAGTTGTAGGGTTTCCAATTCCTGAAACGAGCTGCCTACTAAAACGTCCAGAATCTCAGAACCACACGCCTTATGAGGGCTCAGCAGGCTTCAGGACGGTCCGGATAGAGGTGTGATGGGAGGCATGAATTCGTGTAGCTCAGAAGCGATTTCGGCTGCTCAATCGGACCACTGAGAAGTCAAGTGGTCTGAGTCAACATGTCTCAAAATAGCCGCGGCCCCTCAGTTCTGAGGGGCGCTGCTCTGAGTTGGAATTTGCGTCAAGCAAGCGACACAAGCTGTTTGCTTCTAGCATGCAAAGGCCAGGCTCATAACAACTCCAGCTTCTCTTTGTCTCTTCTCATGTTGGGATCGCTTTGCCTTGGACGCCTCAAATCTGCCTCTGGCTATCAGATTTCTCCAGAACGGCCAGAGGGCAGACGTTGTGTTCCTCTTGCTGATTCCCGACTTGGATGCCATAGGGCGCTAGCGCAAGGGTGAGACGGAAGTAGCTAAGTGGGCCTGAGGCCTGACGCCCTGGGACATTGGACCCGACTCAGGCTCCTTGACATGGTGCAGGGTATATAGGGTTTGGGGTGTAGGGGTGTAGGGATGCAAGATGCCAAACAGAACACCCCCTAAAACAATGAAAGACTGCCTACGGCAGCCTATGGGTTGGGGCTGAAATTCGTCCTTAGCAGGCGCCTTCGAAATGCCGGAGGCGCAAAACAGATTAGCAGATGTTAGCACGCCTCAATGGGGCAAACCAGCGCTCAGAATTTGAGCCACTCCGGTTTGGCGGTTTCCACAGAGACGGCGATGCCGAGGAACCTGGCTGGCTTGGGCATCTTTGGACTTGCGGTTTGTATTGCTTTCTGCATCTTCCTGACCCGTTGCGAATCAAAAAAAAACTTCCAGCCGCTCGCTGGCAGTGTCAGGAGGGGCCTGACGGAAACAACTGAGGCCATGACGCGAGATACCTTAGAAACTTAGATTCGACTGCAAGGGCACAAGACCGACTGGCAATGATTTACACTGGCGGATATTGGAGGTTTTTGGCACAGGAGCAGCTGCCACAGTACAGTCTGGCCGAGCGGCAGGATGGCCATGCATAGGCCGAGTGGACGATTCAGCTTCCATCCCAGGCAGTGGATGCTCACGACGACCGCTACGACCATTAACAGCAGCCTTTCCAAAACTGCGTCAGTGTGCACTTTTCCGGCAGCATGGCTTCGCACAGCACGACCGATGCCATGCTCCCCATCCCTTCCGCCAGCCAAGGCACAAAATGACGTCGAAGGCCAGAAAAGGTGATTTGATGGTCACCTCAGGATGCACAGGAATGGTGCGATGACACGTCGCTCCTCAGAGTACACTGAAGTGCGCAACGACCGGCCTGATAGCTGACATCATTGAGTGCGATCTTGATCATCCACGGAATCGGGAGTCCAACCAGGATGTCGAAGATGTTCGAACCCACTGAAGACGACCTTCCGCTAATCCAGTCATGTTAAAACATACTGGACTACGACATCAGAACTCCCACGAACGCCTAGGGCCTCCGATGCCGACTAAGGCCCATGCACTGCCATGTCGCCCTGCCCCTGCTTTGCCACGGCCACCGACGAAGCCGCATCGGGGATGGACGTCCCGGCCTCGTGTCTTTGTCCGACCGACATAGACTCGAGGCCGAACAGACTGCACTTACATGCAAGCACGACCAGGGACTGGGTGCCCTCGACCTTAACCTGTCATGGCCGAGATGCAGCCAGCAACGTAAAACTCATGAGGATCGGGTCTATGTGCAAAGCCTGGCCCAGGATCTCCACCTCAACAGAGGCGAGGGCGAAGGCTGAAGGAGCGAAGGCCCTCATTCCGGAGACAGACTCTGCTCTGCAAGACCACCGCCCGTAACAATAACTCAACTGGCGAATTCCGGAACCCACACAATTGGCAAAACATCGGCGTCTGGAAAGCTCTTATAACTTGAAGGAGCCACCCTTATTCAGCAGTCCACGATTTGGGGGTCCTCACCTCAACCCACATTCATTCCCATTCTCATTAGCATCATCTTTGCACCTTCTCTGTCAACCCGCCCCGCGCCAAATGCCGATATGAGTTGCTGAGAAAACTGGATGTGTGATGATGTGTGTCTTTGTGTTTGTGTGTGTGTGTGTGCGTGTGTGTCCGAGAGTGTGTGTGACCAGCTTCAAGAATGGGATCGGTGACCACGCCCTTCATGAGAACTATGCAGGGGACCAAAGACCTCTCTCCCAACCTTGCGGTTGACCGCCTATGCGCACTGTTGTGTGTAGCTGAGGGACCACCCGCCTTTTTGCTGGAACCAATCCTCACCCAAACCAACGCTCATTCTCAGTCTCATTCTCCGTCTGCGGCGCATGTGCATTCGTCATGCTCGCTCGTCATTTGTGCTGCGTAGCAAGCCATCTCCCACTGCCTTTTGCCTTTCAGCTTGTTTACAATCGCTGTGCCTTGTTTGGCAGGAAGGCTGTGGAATGTGATGCATGCTCCTCCCCAGGCCGGCGTTGTCAGGCTTCATAATTAGGTGTGCAGTTGTCTGCATACACGGCACTGACAATTCAAAAGTTGATGAGAACGAGCACTTGTATCTTCAAAACCCTACGTTCTGATACTGTATTGTGCTTGTATTGGGATTTCCAGTGATCCACTTACAGCCGCAACATACCGCAACACTGAACATCTGTGCCTGAGAAGCTCTTGGACACCTCTGTGCGTGGAGCAGCACTTGCGCAGTGCTGAGACAGAAAACCATGAGACCTTTTTGCTTTCTCTCTGCGAGCCGCATGCTGATAGCTATCCTAAGCCTCCCCCCAGCTGGTGCTTGATGCTTTCTTTTGTGCGGAGGTCTGTGTTTGAGCACCCAATCCTCGACTGAGTCGCCATTCATGCTCATTATCACCCTCTTCATCACCAGAACCCTTTCCAACTCCATTTGCGGTGCATGTGCATTGGTCAGGTTCGCAGTTCGCACGTCAATTGTTCTGTGCAGCGACAATGTGAATGTGTGTGTGTGTGTATGTTGCGCGTGTGCGTGTGCGTGTACGTGCACGTGCACGTGCGTGCGTGGGCGCGCACGTGTACAAAGTGAATGCCATACGTCATCAAATCATCAGGAATTTGGTGGTAAGGCTTGTCGTGCAGGGGCGGGGAGGGAGGTTGCCACCTCTCCGGCCTGGACTAAGGGCCCGTGTTTAGGGCTTGAAGCCACTTTTCTGAGTACTGACAGTTTGGGGGTTCAACGGCAGAGGTAGGGTGGGATGTGAAGCAGGGAACAGCTCCATGCAACCACAACATGTGCACCCAAAAGCCTTCTTTTTTAAAACCCAGGATGTGAAGACTCGGGCTCCGGGTCTCCGGCCCACCAAACGAGACAGAAGGACAGAGCTGCGATCCACACCTGTCTTCAGCGTCTTTTTCGACAGGTGCGGACCTCTGCTCAAGCCCTGGGCTTGCATGGCTTGCAAGATACAGCCAGCGCTGATCTTCAAAGCACGGCGGCAAGGCTAAGGAGGCGATGAAAGTCAGCAGGAACCAGCGCTCCTTTGGCAGGATGGGCCAATGGGCTATTATGCCTTATGATTTCTTAAAGCTGCCCTTTATAGGGTTGGTTATTAAACCCTTATAAAAATGCCCTTTATAGGGTTGGCTATCGGGATCATAAGGCCTAATAGCCCATCCTGGTGGCCCGCCAGAGTCCTAAACAAGAGGCGGTCACCCTGTTGAGTCCATGGTGCGTTGGGCAAGGGCGTGACGAAGAAGATGGGTGCAAGCACCGGGAGCGAGATGAACCAAATCACCTGGTCTTTCCTTGGGCAGATGTGTGTGTGTGTGATGCAGTGCCCATGCACATTGGAATCGTTGCTGATCTAAGGTAGCTGATGCACCAGCAGCTGTTTAAACATTGCCCGCAGGCCTCCGAAACGCATCAACGCCTAAGTGTGTTGCTGGCCTGGCCAATGTTCGGCAGCGACTAAGACTGAGCGCACATGCACAAAGCCAGGTGGGGTATTCTACTCGAGAACCTGAACACTACGCCGTCCGAAGCTGTAGCACATGTTCTACTTCGCCTTTCTTGCGTCCGCCATCCGTGACCAGCACATCCTCACACGGGCATCCTGGCCCCTTGCGAGGTCCATCACAAGCTGACGAAAAATTTAAATACGTCACTACGTGCCCTTCCTTGACCACAAGAGCAGACACCCAGTACCTTCCCGACAGTGCTGTGCCAATCTCCGTGCAGCTCCGAAGTCTTCTCTGCCAAGTCACGTGTTGTCAGGAAAGTCCATAAATGCAGGTTCCTCCTCCTCCTCCTCTTGCTCTGCCACTGGCTTGGACTCTTCTGGCAGCTCCTATAGCTCGACATGCTGACACACACTAACATTCCACTTTCAGGTGACATGGCATCATACATGTTCATGACATATTGCACCAGTCCTGCACCTGCTGCATGCCTGCCTCAGATCTCTTGCGCAGTCGAAAGTACAGGCTGTTCGATCCCTCCACAGCATGCAGATCCAGTTCATGCTGGTACATGGCCAGATTTCTCACAGCTCAGTGGCGGATGGGCGACTGGGTTGCCGGTTTCCTCCCTGTGCCTGCCACGTGTAAGATGCATGCTGCTGAGCCACTTCGATCCCTGAACTGCAGCCACTGCACTTTCAAACAACTTTCGGCAGCTGCTTCAGTGCTTCAGCAAGGACAGGGGTGAGGGCGGCAGCAGCACGTTTCTTGACGCAGGTTTCCGAAATACGTGAACCACAACAAGCACAAGCAGACAAAGTGTTGTAGCGCAGATTCGCAGTTTGCTTACATCGTACATCCTCAAACAAAACAAACCCACAGGTCCCACCTCCTCTGTTTCGGAGAGCCTCCTCTCCTGCTGAGGCGGTGTGCTGTTCAACTTGAAGCTCCAGACAAATGCTGCCCACTTGCTACAGCAAAAGCATCGGGCGTTGCCTCGTGACGGTTGTGCACAGCCTGCTGCAAAGCTCGGAGCATGATACGTTTGTCTCACAACGTGGGCGTGTAAGAGCTCCGTCGGAGGGCCTAACGTCAACAGAGTACTGTGTAAGTTGCTGGACAAAGATAGTAGTAGGCCTCCTGCAGTGCAGCAGCCCGAGCGGTCCGAGCAGAGAGCCGTACTTTGTGCGAACGGCTTGGCAACGGCTGACTGCAGACCACATCTGAGGCTTCATCCTGACAGATATATGAGCATCGGCCATTCAGGTCAGGGGTGTAATTAGGGGCTTAGGAGTCTAAGTAGGGCGTGACAGCCTTGGCTGTGCCAACTCTCTGCCATCCCCAAATAGCTTGGGCATGTTTACAATTCAACTGCCCTCAAAGCTCACAAGCCGAGCACGAACAACGCAAAGTCCGTCATGGCGCTTCCGCCTTGGAATCTCTGCGTACGCGCTCGATGTTCTGCGGCGCAACCCAGGGTTCACGGCTTGGCAATGGCTGACTGGCTAAGAATCGGCCAGAATCGTCCTGCGACCAAGATGATCCTTTTCCAAGCTCAGTGATCGCAAAGGATCGCAAAGTACGGGTCCTCCGAGCTCTTGGAGACCTGTCTTGGCCCGTCCGTTCCAAGCCCCGGCTCATCAGTGCAGGAGGGTGGCCTGAGCAGGATTCCACGAGCAAAAAGAATAACGCGAACATCACCGTATGATGCAGCAGCCCTAAACCCTAAAATGCAACTATAGACAGCCGAGAGACTGAGGATCCTCAGCACATTCCGGCGGGTTCGCCGTGTTCGGCCTGGGCTTCACACTCATGGCTTCAGGGTTTAGGGTTCTCAGGGTCAGAGGGTCCGAGGGTTTAGGGCACCAAAGTGCCAGTCTCCTAGGCCTCCCCAGGCTTACTTGAACCAAAGATGAATGACATTAAACAGCCCTCATGGCCCTCATTGCTTCTTGTAGTAGTGGTAGTAGTGGTAGTAGTGGTAGTAGTGGTAGTAGTGGTAGTAGTGGTAGTAGTAGTAGTAGTAGTAGTAGTAGTAGTAGGAGTTGTGGTAGTGGTGGGAGAGGTGGTAGTGGTGGCAGCGGTGGTTGGGGTGGTAGTGGTGGAGTGGAAATACTGGTAGTTGGAACGCCCTTTAATTATTGCGCACATCCCTTTTGGCCAAGCAGCACGATGGAGATGTTCCCCGAACTCGTTCCTGCCCAGTTGCCGACAATCACGGGAGGCCTGATGCAATGATGAACCGCTGCGCAAGCCAAAAACACATCGCAGCAACTGCCTTTACGTTCTCATGGCAACACCCGAGAGTTCGAGCTACCCCTGCGAACCAAGCCTTGTTGTATGTGCCTCGCTGGCATCACCAGGTTTCCTGCAGGCACTCGGCTAGGGCAACCAAACTTGGCCCAAGCCCAAATCCCTCCCAAACAACCGCATGCCGTCGTACTGCAGCCCCTTACCACAACGCCCCGAACCCCCACCCCCCCCCCCCCCCACCCCCCCACCCCCCCCCCCCCCCCCCCCCCCCCCCCCCACCCCTTTCCAGGCCCTGACATGCAGAAGATCTTTGACACCTAATTATAAACCATTAACCCTCAGCCTGGCCCAAACCCCCTTTTTTTGAGCCGAAAACCTGGGTTTGGGCCGCTTGAAAATCATGTCAAATGTGTGGCCACAGTTTCGAAATTACATTGGTTCATTTTGACAAAAGTTTCATGGATTTACAAAAAACCCGCAGAGCAGCTCAACGAACGACAGCCTAGTCTTGCTTAGATGCCGTCTGAATTCCAGGTTTACTCGGTCAAGTGGTGTTCCCAGAAACTCACCCTAAACCCTAAACCCGAAACCATAATATGATAATATATAAAAAGGGCTTTTGACCCCAACCAAGCCTACTGCAGCTCGATGGCTGGTTTGAAATCACAAAACTGTCACTTCTTGATCGCTCATTTTTGCTATAGATGCCGTCTGACATCAAAGGTTCTTTCACCTTGGCTAATTCAATTTCGCAGAATTCTATTATGATGCTTCGGAATCAGCCCCCCCCCCCAAACACATCGTCATCGCAATAGCCGAAACCGAGGGCTTGGATGTTGTCTGCCAATCAAACGGCCAAATGAGCAGCCATCAAGCTCGAGAAATCCTGTCCTAGTGTCACGGCGGCCCGCGGCGTCCACCAACTCCTCTAAGCTGCTGTTGAAATACATAATCACACAGTACCTTGGCAGAGTGAGGAAGTGAAAGCTGATCCCTCCCAGTCTTTGCCCCGGAAGTCGCTGGTGCATTCAGGACACACAAGATAGGCCACGAACAGCAGGATTGCCTGTCAACTGCTGCATTACTGTTATGCTGGTGCAGCTGCACAGCTGCGTCATCTCGACCTCTTTTGATACAAGCTCCGCACGGCCGCTTAAACATGACAAAACAACCGCAGCTGCTTGCAAGCGCGGTCCTCTGCCAATGAAATCAGTTCATCAGAGGCGAAACCTCAGCTCACTTTGCAGCATCTGTTGGGATTGGCATGATGCGTGCTCCCTGCAGCGGAAACTTCATAAGAACACGCACGGCCAGTGCAACTGCAGAACTGCGAGGATACCCAGAGTTGAGCAAGGGCCCTCCCTGATAGCTTGAAACAAGCCTTCGATTAAAAAAGCCTTTCCGAGTGCTCTTGCATCAAAACAGCTGCCGTTCCTTTTCTCTTTGCTGCACTGCTCTTCGCAGAGTTGGTAGACTCTGGGCCCTGTTTAGATGTGGGAGACTGTGGAGAGCAGTAGGGGCATGCAGCCAAGCTGCCTGCCAAAAGGCTCAGGCCGAATATGTAGAAGGTGCAGTCTCCTTGGGTGTAGCTTGCAGCGGCACATGATGGCACATTTCGCACCTCTTTTCCTGGGCTCTTGGACGACACTGTTGCTTTGAGCGTGCGCTGGTCACGCCAAAGGACGGAAGAGTGGCCACCAGGTGAGCTTGATGGGGTCCTTTGCCACATAGCCTTCGTGACTAAGTCTAGCTGGGTTCTTGCGGTCAATCCACAGACAGACTGCGCCGAGCCACCGCAAAGCCCGATGACAAACAGGACGTTGAACACGGCAGACCCGATGATGGTCCCGAAACCCACGTCATTGTTGGCCTTTTCCAGTGCTGCTCTCTTAAGTGCCTCCCTGTTGATCTTCCCTATCAGACCGCCAAGCTTCAGAACCCCAAAGCTAGCTTTTGCATGTTGTTGCTATGCCATCCCCTGCAAGATTCTAAGGCAAAGCTACACACTTGCTACACACTGTCACCCCCAAGCCCCAAACAGTTGCTAAGCTTTGAGGATCCAGGTGTCGATGGTGGCACCCACCAGGGATGTGAAGAGCTCAGGAGCGGAGCCCCCTGCCTAAGAGGGGGAAACAGCGCAAGCATGCGATGAACACGTGTGACGAACCTCCTCCTTGTCCATGGTTTGGGAGGAAAGCAGATTCAGATGTGTAGACACCGGTCATCACAGTTATAAGCCGTCGACCCTCAAGTTTCCACTACTGGATGGATAGGTTGATCGATGAAGCTCTCACATGTCTGCTCAATACCCGATGCCAACCCATAAGCGGTCAGCGAGGTGCGGCCATAAAAGTAGCTCCTGCCACGTCGGGCTTGATGTGCCACTTCTCCACCATGATCTGTGCAGGCAGCTCAGCAACAGTTTCTGCTGCGATCATGGCCCATGGCATGAGCTTGACGAACAGATTGAACCCGCCTCAAGAGCACCTGTGAAGTAGACCTGGCACTCAAGAACATCGGCCGCATGTATGGTTCACTTCATTCATGCCTGTCTAAGAGTGGGCGTGTGCAGATGCTAAGGAAACAAATAGTGCTGCCAGGCATCGTCGCACACCGTATTCAGCCCTAGCAGCATGTAGCTGATGCCAATGACCTGGGTGTTTGCGGCAGGTTTGCAAGATCCCAAGATCAACTGAAGACAGCTGCAATCTTCTGGGCTGCGTGCATGCAGGAAAACCAACCAACGATTCTCATCCTCGCCATAGGGTTTTGTCAAGATCAAGTCCGTGGGATACCTCGTCCAAGGAACAGCAAAGGCAAAGGCTCTTCTCAAAATCGCTCTGCCCTCGTTGGCTTCGGGCTTCGGGTACTGGTAGGTTTCTTAAACTAGGGTTCCTTTTGACAATGCGCGGGCCCTTTTGTTCTTTTGTGGTTTTCCCAGAGAACCGGAAGGGAAGAACAGCCCGCTACTGTGGCCAAAAGACAGATCCTGCAGCCCACGGGCCGACGAAGATCGTACTTCGGGCTGTAGACCTGGAGAAGGTGAAATAAAGCGACGAAAGGAATCTGAGACTCCCGCCTGAACCTGGAGACTGTGGGGTTTAGGGTTTAAGGCAGTTTAAGGTTAGGGGTTAGGGTTTAGGGTTTAGGGTTTAGGGTTTAGGGTTTTTTTGCCACCCGCCTAGCTGACACTCAGGCCACATTGCAATACCGGAAATACTACTTCTCATCAGAAAGATGGGGCGCTTTTAAAGTTAGCGTAAACGGGCGGATCAATGCGGGGAAGTTGCAACATCTCAACACAGGACAAACCACAACACCACACTACCCCATCGAGTAAGCAAAGCATAGAGTTAAGGGTTAAGGGTTAAGGGTTTAGGGTTTAGGGTTCTTGAAACCGAGGTCCGTGCGCCCAGGCCGGTCATGCCAAAGAACCTCTTGGCAATGAAACGCAGATTTCGCGCTGCTTTAAAATGCTTAAAATGAGCTCCCTCTTTTTATGGCTGAGCAGTATTTTACCGAGTATTATACTCTATCTCAAAAAGGAAGCAGGCAAAAGTCTCAGCTTCCGGCCACGCAGGTCAAACACAGCAGCACCAGCCTCAACAGTCGGAGGGGCTCTGCACACGATCCCCGAGGTCTAGCTCAGCTCCCAAGCAGGTGGGGTCAAACACATACTAGAACCTAGTCAGTTGTCACTACAGGGTGCCCCACAGCCCCAAAATAGCCCACCGGCACACGCTATGTGCCAATTTGCAAGCAGCCGATGCTCAAGTTTAGGATTCAGGATTTCAGTAGAGGTCCGCGTTTCTCTTGGCAACGTTGATTCTGGTAGGCGTTGATGGAATACATAACGGGCACTCTTGCAGACATTTTTCTGCAAGTGCCAAGCCACGCTGATGTTGCGAAGGATGCTCTTCTCAGCAGCCTCAGGGAGGACTTGCAGCATGGCAAAACAAAGGGACACAACTCTCTACATTGGACAAAGGTAGCGCGTGACCTCTAACCATGTTCGGGGCGAATGCCAATGGGCTGAGGGCTGAGCCGGTACGGGATTCCCGTCGTGCGGCAAAGGGCCATGAGGCCATCGGGTGCACGGAAACCAGAGGCTGCCTCACCCTCCCGCCTCTGATGGCTGAGATGTCTAAGCTAAGAACTGGCTGGGGCTGCTTTTGGGCATGTTCACCTCTGTGACATCTGTGGTCTCAGAAGATTCTGAAAGCGAAGGAAACTGCAAATTACAGAAGACACTGGCTGAATCGTCTCAGACAGAACCTCCAATGCATGTGCAGCACATGCAAGATTGAGCCAAGTCCATATGAGCCTTCTCCTTAAGTGCGCTCCACGTGTCAGAAAGATCTACTCAAAGCACCCAAACCCTCAACCCTCAACCCTCAACGCTGAACTCTTTTGCATCCGGGCTAGGATGTCCTAAGCCTAAACCCTAAACCCTTTTTGAACCCAGACTCTGAACGTCAGCTGGCACGAAACCCTAAACCCTAAATGTGAAACCAAGTTCGCACTGCGAGGCATGGAACGACCTCCGCGACAACGAAAGGCTTTCTGGTTCGAGCAAAAGGTGCGCAGATGCGCGGAAGGCCCCGTGGGGTGCTTGGTGGGTTTGGGGTGTGGTTTTCCTCATCTTGGTTTGTTATTGGTAGCGGAGCCCAGGCCGCGGTCCTGGGTTAGGCGGTGTCCTTGTTCGGTTGTGTGGTTGTGTTTTCGGTTCTTTGTTGGTTCTGGGTGCTGTAGTGTACCCTGGCCTTCCCATGGCAGCCGCTGCCGACAGTGAAACTGTTCCAACGGTGGCTGGAAATGGTGCTGCTGTGGCAGCCGAAGAGACAACGAGATCCACCCCGGAGGCAAATGTGACGCCTGATGCATGGGGTGGTTGGGTGCCCAACTCGAATGCTTCAGCACATGTCTCCGATCGTGAAGTTCACAATGATCGTGCAGAGAGCCAGCAAGCTTGGGCTCAGTGGACTGGGCCGAATGTTCGCTCCAGTTGGTGGGGCAGCAGTGGGGGCGATGGCTGGGGACAGTCTGGATGGGATGCAGCTCGCAACTCGTGGTGGACTGGAGAGGCTCATCGTCAAGATGAACAGTGGCAAGACTCCTGGGGACGGAGTCAGGCAGACCATGGCCACTTTGGCCAGGGAACATGGCAAGCTTCCGACAATGCTACGGACGGCAACTCGTCCAACGCCTCCGATGGCCATCCACCGTTACGTCCCGGAACAGACACAGGGGCTTGGAAGAGAGCGAGTTCCGAGTCCACTACTGGCGGGACCTGGCAGGATGGGAATATGAACTATCGCAAATGGGGCGAGGAGCCGAAGGGCACTGTTGGGGAGAAGATGGCGGTGCCCACCTTCGATGCAGAAGGAGTCGGGGAAGAACTCGGGACCTCGGCAAGGTCCTACTTGCGCCAGGTAGATGCCTGGTGCAAGGTGACGAGGACCCCAGAACATCAACGTGCGCTCCTCTTATACCAACACCTAAGCGGAAGAGCCTGGGTGGAGTCAGAAGAGCTCGATGTCGAGGAACTCTCCAGACCTCATGGCATTGCAGTGTTTCGTGCATGGATTCAGGAGCGCTACCAGGAGGTTGAAGTCTCCAAGATCGCCGATGCACTCACGACGTTCTTTCGCCGCCTCAAACGACAGTCAGGCCAGACTGTCCGGGAGTTCAACTCGGCATTCGACCGAGCTTACTCGAGGCTCTTGGAGATAGGATGCAAGCTTCCCGAAGTCGCCAGGGCCTGGGCGTATCTTAGCTCTTTGGGGTTGAATAATTCCGAGGAGTTGGCTCTTTTGGCTTCAGTTGGGAACGAGTACTGTACCTCTCGACTTCAGAAGGCTGCTGTGCTTCACGAGAAATCCTTGAAGCCCCCTTGGCAGCCCCGCAAGAACTTCAACAGCCTTCCCTTCTCTCATGGGCAACATGGTCACGGCGACAGCAGAAAGGACAAGGGCATCCGAGGAACCTACATGACGGCCGTCGACGAAGAAGGCATCATCGACGAAGGTGAAACTGCTGACGACAACGAGGCCGACCTTTATGAGTACCTGCCGGAGGAGACCGCCATGGAGCTGCACGAGGCGTTTGTTGCTCAGGAAACAGCGAAGGCAAAGTACAAGGACATTCTCAAGGCCAGAGGCGTTGATCCCGCTGCTCTACCCCGGGAAGGTCGCAAAGCTATCACCGAGGACACCTTGAAGATGACGGTTGAACAGCGCTTGCAGGCTGCGAAAGCTCGCAGTTTCTGCGCCGGGTGCCGGCGCCGAGGGCACTGGCATAGAGACCCCGAGTGTCCCCTGAATCGGGGGCATCAAGGGAAAGGAGCGAAGGAGAATGGGGACAAGCACGTACACGTCACTTCCAATACCGAGGTCGACAGTCTTTCTGTGGTTCATGTGGCTTTCGAGGTCGGAGCGCCCCCCGGGAATCGACTCCTGGCCATCACGGACACCGCATGTAGCAAGACGGTGGCAGGGCAAGGATGGCTTGATCTTTACCTGCAGGCGGCCAAGCAGGCTGGCGTTCCCGTCCAGTTCATCGACTCCCAGGACGACTTTCGCTTCGGTGCCTCCAAGGTGTTCAGGGCGACCTATACGGCCACGATTGCGATCAAGATCCTCAATCGGGTGTTCCTGGTGCGGGCTTCCATTGTGCAAGGTGAAGTTCCCTTGCTGTTGAGCCGTTCGGTGCTCAGCGGGCTCGGGATGATCTACAACATCGAGGACCACGTCGCAGAGTTCAAGCATCTCCACGTCCGGGATTTCCTTCTCGACACCACGGACACAGGGCATCCGGCCATCGTAGTTGAGCCTAAGGCGATGCCACCTTTTGTCCTTCCGTCGCCCCAAGAGTGGGCCAAGAAGGAGTATCTCATCGTACCGAAGTCACAGCAGGGATACATGGTGCACATGACTTCCGTTGATGAACCCCTGCAGTGTGGAGAACCCACAGCCCAAAGCTTTGCTCGAGATAGGTCCCCTCACGATGACCCTCAAACTGAGTCGCAGCCACCTCAAGGTAAAAGATCCTATCCCCTCTTCTACCCCAAGAAGATCCATTCCTTCGTCGAGAACATGCTCACGGCTGAACCGTTGAACCATGAGATCTTTGCTCGATGGTGGACCCAAACTCCCCTCTCCAAAGATTTCTGGATAGAGACAAGTACCTCTCTCATCAGGATACATGTTGTGCCGCGCAGGACCTTCTTTGATCCCGCAGCCTGGACCACTTCCCAGGAATCCGTCAAGCAGAAGCTCCTTGCATGCATTGGTTGTGTCAGAAGTACCAGTGCTCTCAGTTGCCAATCACACCACACGTTGCAGACCGTGCATGACATGTGGCAACAGGGAGAACAGGAGTCATATCCTACTCTTTGGGTCGGTAGATCCGTTTTCCCTCGAGTCAATAGACCGACCGA